CTTGGCATGGCATGGGCGCATGGCACTTTGTGCATGGCTTGCATGCATGATTTTTTTGGGATCACGCAGGGGTCGTGTTGTTGCTGCTTTGGCATGGCATGGCAGATAGACTTGCACTGCGTTGCATGGTTTGTTGACTTCTTTTGTCCTGGCACGGCATGCATGGTCTTGTTTTTATTGTTGTTCCTTTTTTTGTTGTGTATACATGGCATGAGCATGGCATGGCTTGCATTATTCTTGTGTTGGCATGGCATGGCATGTGTCTTTTTCTCTATTGGCATGACATGGCATGGCTGGTTTTCTTTCTCTATATAGGCATGGCATGGCATGGCATGGCATTCCAGAAAGCATTGCGTGGCATGGTTTGTGTTGACTTCTTGTCTTGGCACGGCATGCATGGTCTTCTTGTTGTTGTTGTTGTTGTTGTTGTTGTTGTTGTTGTAAAGCATGGCATGAGCATGGCATGGCTTGGATACTTCTTGTCTTGGCATGGCGTCGCTTGTTTTGGCATGGCATGGCATGGCATGGCTTGTGTTTTTGTGTCTATTGGGATGGCGTGGCATGGCTTGTTTATCTTTGTTTAAAGTAGGCATGGCATGGCATGGCGTGGCATGGCAGTGCATGGCATGGTTTGTTGACTTCTTGTCTTGGCATGACATGCATGGTCTTGTTTTTGTTGTTGTTCCTTTTGTTTTTGTATAGCATGGCGTGAGCATGGCATGGCATGGTTTGTATACCTGTCCTGCTTTGACATGGCATGGCGTGGCATGAATTTTTATTGCTCTATCCGTTCGCAATGGCGTGGCCTGGCTTGTCTCTTGTCATTGGCATGGCATGGCATGGATTGGTATTTGTTCTTATGTTGGCATGGCATGGTTGCAGGTTCTCTCTGAGGGGAACGGCACGGCATGGCGTGGCGGCGTCTGCTCTCATCCGTGCACCCTCATGTCCCGCCTTGCACTTATGTTTGCGCCGCAGCGTGTCCCAGCCGGTGTTGCTCACGTCCTTACCCTTATAGAGCTTGCGAACATGGCTCTCACGGCTGCCTTGCAGAGCGAGGCTAATGCCATCCTAGCCTCGGATGAGGCAGCAAACGACAAAGTGGGAAAACTGAATCGACTTTGGCTTCAGCATGGCCTTGCTGCGTATCAAACGCAGGTGCCGGAGAAATTCCTGGTTCACCCCTTGAATCGGGGAGGGGCTATGCTGAATGGCCACGACGTTTTGGCCAAGGGAGAGCGGCTCATCACACAAGGCTTGCGGCGCGACCTGATGGAAACCTCTGCGGTGGCTTTTGCCATGAGCAGCCAGGCTTCCAAAAGAGACGAGCAGCTGGCTGCCAACAAAGACCTGCAAGCCCAGTTCCCGAAGCTGGCTCCGGTGAGAGGCAACGAGCTGTTCCTGACGGTCGGGTGTTCGCGCACGACCGCCTACCTCCGAGCGCTCCAGTTCGGCGCAGTGGAGCATGCGGGCTCTCACATGCAGCCGGGACATGCCGTCCATGATTGCATTCACAGCGGCTGGCGGTGGTTGATTCTGTCGGACATTCTGGAGGCGTCGTTCCCTGCTTTGCCCCTCCTCTACTCCTCTGCGCTGAACAACAACAATGCTGTCCACGTTGCCTCCACGGAAATGGAATGCTTAGCCACTCTGAGCCGTTTCTTGCGGCTGGGGAAGACCTTAGCCCAGGCAATCGAGGGATGCAAAGAGGGTGAGCCAAACTGCAAGCCGTATCTGGACTCCATCGCCTACTTTGCGAAGACCTACACCGGCGGCGCCGACATGCCCCTGGTGGACTTCCTGGTATCCTTCAGTGCCTTTGCTGGGGTATGTATATGAGGGTTTGGACACCTCACGCATGCATGCATGCCGCATGTGCAAATGAAAAGTGAACGCGACCAAAGCATGGGAAGCTGTGTGCTGAGGCAAGGTCTACGGCGGGAGCCTGATGCTGGGGTCTGAGTTCAGCCGCCTCATCGCCTTCCATGACTTTAAGGTTCAGGGCACACTCTGTCCTCTTGCGCGCGTGGCTTGCGTGGCCTGTCAGTTGTCGTCTTCCAAACAGACCGACGGCATAGCGCGGTTGCTGGTCAAAGCGGATCTGCAGGCTGTCAGTGCCAAGCGCAAGGACGAGCTGCTGCAGACAGAGAGCGGGCTCCGAGATGGTTTGCCAGCTTGCTTCTTCCTTGAGCTTCCGTGAGAAGGTAGAAGTCTTCGGTCGCTTGTGCGTTCGGGCTGTGCTGTTGCTGGTGCGCAAGCAGAAGCTTGGCAGGGAAACGACAGCCTGGGACAGCTTTGAGACCATCCGGGACCGCTTCGCCGAGGAGATTATGGGTCGGAAGCCAGCGCAGCAGTCGCCTGCTCTGCCTGCAGAGCCTGCTGCCAGCGCTCCGGTGAACCTGCTAGATGCTTCGAAAGCCAGCATGATTCTCATGCAGAACAAGCGCCTGGAGATATCTGCGAATTACCTGAACGTGGAGGCGCACGGCAACAAAATCTTCAAGCTCGCGGAAGTCACGGACGCCGGGTGCCAGTTCGAGCACAAGCCGCTGTTCAAGGACTCCGAAATCGTGCTGGTCAGCCCCTCCGAGGACATGCACAAGTGGAAGAAGACGAAGAAGACCGCGCAGGTGACGATCAGTCGGTCACCCATCCGCGCATGTGGACGGTTTCCCCGGCAGCCTCCAACCCCATTGAGCTGGCCAGGACTCAGATTGCCTTGTGCGAGGCCACCGTGGATCAGGGTGATGCCAACGAGAGCGTGACGTTCCTGGGGCCGCCCTTGGCGCTGTGCGCCAGCCGCGCAATGGGCAAAGGCAAACTTCGTTTGGTGGCTTACGGCCTTCTGGGCCCTTTGGATGCCAAGGCGACTCACAAAGTGAGCGGGTACAGCCTCCACCCTCCCAAGGCCATTTCGGACTTGGATAAGCTGCAGGAGGACGGCAAGGCCATGCTGGTGCCGTTCTGGTACGTGAAGACGACCTCGGATGCGAGCCAGGCCAACATGCGTGTAGCCCAGTTCTCGAAGGCTGGCCTGAAGATCCCCTGCATGATCAATGAGCGAGCGTTGGAGGTCGGAGAGGTGCTGTACGTGCTAGCGCCCTCCGCGGAGAGCAAAGGCGTGAAGCGGAAGGCCGCCTGAGCGCAGCCCTGCCTGGGTATAGATCTTGAGGGCCAGCCTTGCAGTTGCGGCCCGGTTTTGCTAGAGCTTGCTGCGAGCGAGGAAAAACTTAAACGCAGCTCTTAGCGCGTATGTGCATGCGCGTGCTGCAAGTCACGGATGTGCGTTGGCAGGTGACGCATGCGTGCGCCTAGCAGATGTTGCCGCGAGGCATCCCCTCTCAAGCGTTTGGCCGAGGCAGCCAGGAGACCATCTCGGCATTCCCGCTGTATCGCGTGTCAGCATGGCCTCCTCAGAAGATGGCGGAGACGGCAAGGTGATTGTGGAGAAGGTGCACCAGATCAGGACTGCCGGGCAGCCTCAAGGCATGGTGGTGCCTGCGGACATGGTGGTGTCGGCAGAGGGCAAGGATTACATGAAGATACTCCTTGCCGCCACCGCACGTGCTGGGCTCCGTGATGGGTGCGCCGCCTGCTCCGGCTACGTTTGCTGCTGCGGCTGCTGACGTCCCGCCACCCAGACCACCCGCGGTCCCTAGGCCTTACCCGCCGCCGCCAACTCCGCCTCCTGTGCCTGGGCCAAACACATCGCATGGAGTTGCCTGCTTGCAAATTGAACATGGTGCATGGCATGTTGCACGGAAGTTGAACATGTTGCACGCATGGCATTTCTGTGGCGCGTGTGAGCATGCAAGGCATCCCTGGGCGGTGCCGGTGGCTATGGGCCGTGCAGGCGCTGAAGCAGCATGCGTGTTGCTGGCACGCAAGTTTGGCATGCGATCATGCATGAGTGTGCGCATGTTCAGCTTCCGCACTCTTCTTTGCAAGCTCGGACTGTGCCTGCCCTATCCAAGGTGGAGAAGATCGTATCACGGAGCACCCCGCGAAGCCATGATGGCCAGGTGTGGAGGAAAGCCTGCGAAGTGTAGCCCCTTTAATGTATACAGTTCTTAATCCTTGGAAGGCAGCGTCGTCTAAATTAGATCTACATATAGGGCGCGATAAGTCTGCAAGCATGCCTCCTCAGCATCTCGGCCGGTGCTGTAGCACAGAATTTTGCGGAGCTTGGATGGCCAGCTGATGAAGGAAGCTTCTTAAGTTTTAATGTACCAGGCTTATAGCATATATGGTTGCTGGACCCCGCAAGGCATTGCTCTCCAATTCACTTATACAATAGCTCTATAGAAGCATGGCCCCTCAGCAGCTCGGCTGGTAGTTTTGCAGATCACGCGATCTGCCGCCCGCGCACTTAGCAGTGCGGTTTGGCCAGGAGTGCCACCAAACATAGAAGCTCTGCCGCTGCTCCGGCGCCAAAATGAAGGTCTCAGTGCAGGGTTGGTGCTGTGCGTCTCCAGGGGCTAGATGATGGATCCTGACCCTCTCTTGCAGAACATTCACTTCTGTAAAATCCGTGCTTGTGCCTGCAGCCTGCAACATGTTCGGCGAATCGTGCGATTTGTTAGGCCAGACCCCATTTTGCAGTTGACATTTGGCATGACATCGTCCGCATACATGGGCAGCCGCTCGCGGGTCAAGCATCATTCACTTGCATTGCTGCAAGCACGCACATGTTCTTGCAGCTGCAATAGCAGAGGCAGTTTGCAGTCCATGAGATTATCCTGGACGTCAGATTTCTAAGCTTGCAGG